GAATCATGATTAATCATCATACCATTCAAGTAGGGCATCACCGACACCTTTGCTACTTTAAGAATTCTACCTCCAAATGATCAAATCATCCAATGGAACAACAGTCAAATTAATCTTACCTACCCAACAATCCACACATACAACACAATTGTAGGCTATTCTCGTCACCCCCACATGCACTAGAATTAATAGCCTTCACTGTTTGGGACTTTGAAAGAGTGTTAGCCCCAATTTTGTAACAACTCTCGCCTGCCATGAAATTATAGTTGCTTCCTATCTAACAAAGGCTTTAACCTAACCATGCCTCACTTTAATATCAACACGTTAAAGTATTACAAACAACAACCCTTTCTTCTCGTCCTTGTTTCCCGTCCTTGAACTAGTCTCTACCCTTATAGCATTCATCAGTTGCAACAGATTCTTTAAGATTTTGCTGCCTACTAGACTCTCCCTCCTCGCCCATTAAAGCATCAAGCTTTTCTCTCTTCTCGACAATCCCTTGCCCATGTGGTCCCCACAAATAAAATAGTCTGCATTGTTTTGTCCTTTTTGTTATCTTTAGAAAATTGCTCCTACCACTTGCCTTCCCTTATCGATGGTAGGATTTTTCTTCTGAAACTGGAAGCTTTCTTCTTGTATGCTTCCTTTAAACTCTCTAAAAAAAAAAACCTCTTTGTAAATTACACCAGATCATGTTTTTGAGGTCTGTAACCAATTTGCCATTCATAAAATAAGAATGCATCTAAAACTGCTTGAATATTACATGGTAAAATTTGGAGTAGTTGAAATGAATTTAGAGGAGTTGATTGTGGGGGTGTGATTGTAACAAATGAAAAGTGTAGAAATTATGGGTGCATAACTGTAAAATATGAAAACTAAAGTAAACAAAAGGAAGAATTACAATTATTTCATATATGTAAGTTCAACAAAAGTTTATTTCTCATACCTTCTTTGGTTGGGAGATATCTTTAACTAGCAAACCACAGCCACAGGCACCACACAACTAACCCCCAACAAACTCCCCTATGAGGTATTACTTACACAGTCGCACACTTTGAAAGACAAGCGTGAAACTGCACATGCAGGAAACATTGACAACGAATATTAAAAGATAAAAAGATAAAAAAGTATTGTGCGAGTAGATATTTGGAGATCTTCATGAATAAAAATAAAAATAATAATAAGTATCTTGAAATTGTTTAGAAACTGGAGGTGTAAAACCCCACTCTTGAATCAGAAAATTGTTCTTACTCTCTCTGTAACTTAAAGGCTATGTACACATCCAAAATCTAGCATCCTTGACTTTGAAAAATTATCTAATATATATGAAATTAACTTTTAAATTCATCAAACATATCAAAACAAATTATTAGTTTTTACAAAAAAAAAAAAAAATCCTTTTCCATTTTTCTTCAAAAAATGCCAATATTGTAATCACATTAACTTATTTGGTCAATTAAATACTGAAGAATTAATACTATATAACTAACAAAACGAAGAATTACTATTATTTCATATATGTAAGTTTAACAAAAGTTAATTTCTCATACCTTCTTTCGTTGGGAGATATCTTTAACTAGCAAACCACATGCCTCACCACACGGCTAACCCCACACAAAACTCCCCTATGAGCTATTATTTACACAGTCGCACACTTTGAAAGACAAGGATGAAACTGCACATTGACAACGGATGCTAAAACATAAGAGAGAAAAATAGGTATAGTACCAATCTTGAAATTGTTTAGAAACTGGAGGTGTAACTGAAGAAGTATCTATATAACCAACAACACGAAGAATAGTATTATTTCATAATGATAGTTTACACAATTTAATTTCTTAACCTTCTTTGGTTGGGAGATATCTTTAACTAGCAAACCCAGGCCTCACCACACGGCTAACCCCCCAAAAACTCCCCCGATGAGCATTACTTTACACATGGCACACTTTGAAAGACAAGGATGAAACTGCACATGCAGGAAACATTGACAACGATATAAAAACATAAAAAGATAAAAGGTAGATATTTGAAGATCTTCTTGAATTAAAAAGATAATAATAAGTATCTTGAAATTTTTAAACTGTTTGAATTAGAAAATTATTCTTACTCTCTTAAACTTAAAGGCTAAAAACACACCCAAAATCTTGCATCCAAGCCTATATATCTGAATTTTCATTATAATTAAATATTATTTATCACGCTAGTTGGCTTTATATAATTGCATGATTAATCTTACACTTGAATGAAAAATAAAAAAATGGGTTAACCCTATCGTAACTTTAATTTTTACTAAAAAGTTAGTTAAATGTTAGAAAAATCTTACTTCAATAATTAAGTGTTTATACTATATTTGATTTTAACTAGCGTCACTCTTTTATTTTTTATTACTTTAAAAAGCCGAAAGATAAAAAAAAAAAAAAAAAAAAATGGAATACAAGAATAACAGTGGCAAACAGCACCGCCACATTTGGGCCCTTGGCCTGGGCCGCTACACTGCCTTTATTTTTTATTTTTAATATTTAATTATTATTATTATATTGAAAAATTATTTTTAAAAGTAAATACTTTTAAATTTTTAAATAATTGTAAATATTATAAAATGTCAAATTAAAATTTTATGACCTAAAAGCGAGAAAAGAACGAAAATAAGACAAACGACATGTTCCCACTCCCACCCAAGGTAAGCTAAATGACAATGTTAACATGTTTCATAAATTTCAAATTTTCACCTTTAATTAATATAAAATTGTTTAATCACCGGTGAAAAGGTAAAAAGATCATTTTCAAATTTTAGATGCAAACTGAAAAATAAGCTGCCACCAAAACCACCCCATACACTATCACCATCAACCGAAAATAGCCCATATAGAGTATGCCGCAAAATAACAATATAGAGTTACAACACTAAAGCTTGGGAATTTTTACAAACAGTGGAGTGCCAAAATTTACAAACGCTTTGATCACCTCCCGACTTCAACAATCCCAGAAAACAACTCAAAACACTTCTTAATCAATCCCAAACACCTCCAACAACACAAAAACAATCTCCTTCAAAATCTCACAAACAAAACTCCAATCAATCCCAATTTCTGATTGATGATTATAGTGTTGAAAGTGTGAAAAATCTGAAAATCTTTCTTGGAGTTTGGCTGATCGGTGAAAGAAGAAGAAAAGAAGATGAGAGGGAATTTGGCTGATCATGTGAAGAGCAGAAGAAGATTAGAGGTTGTTTGGTAATACACCTTTGGATCCTTAAAGTTATTAATGGTGTTTTTAAAGTTGAGAGTTTGAAATTTATGAAACCAGGTGAGAACTTGTAGTTTCAATAAACCTTGGGTGAAACATGTCGTTTACTCTGAACATAATTGCGATGAGAAATTGGAAATGGCTTTCTTCCCAGCTTAGAGAGAGTCTATTTTCCGATTTTTTACATTAAAGAAAATAAAAATCAAAGTTAATTGTTATGTTAATTTCCTTTAAGCTGGTCTGTAAAAGTGATATTTTTCATTTTTGTGATGTGTTCGCATCACTTGGACCATATGTTCATGTCGATGACAGTGTGATAACCCACTTTTCTTGGGAGAAAGACTTATACATACCCAATGTTTGTTAAACGACAGTTGGTATCCAAAAGGTTTTTGGAAACGACAAATGGTATACCTTTCGTCATATTCTGTTAGTGATTTTCGTTAGATAATAGTGAAAAGACTAAAATGCCCTTGAAATTTAATTTTTATTTTTTATATTTAAAAATTTCTAAAAAACCCCCTTAGGTTTGCTAATTTGCTAAATACCCCAATATTAAAAATTTTTATAATAACAATACACCCCTGTCACCCACAGTGCTAGATTCCGGCCACCCCGTCGGAATCTGGCCGGAAAAATTGTGTTACGACACAGACCCGTCGATCTATGTCGTAACAACCCGATCTGGCCTTTTCCGGCCTCGACGGCCAGATCGCCTTTGGCCAAAATGCCAGATCAACGTGTTACGACCAGATCCGATGGTCTGTGTCGTAACACATTTTTCCGACAAGTTTTCGGTCTCGACGCCAGATCTGGCCTTAGACTTACCTTTTCCATCAAATCAGCCACGGATCTTGCCCAAAATGAAAGATATACGCGTTACGACACAGATCCATGGGTCTGTGTCGTAACGCAATTTTCCGGCCAGATTCCGACGGTGGTGGCCGGATATGCACTACAGGTGGCGGGGGTGTTTTTTTGTATTTTTTAAAATTTTCATATATCGGGTATTTAGTCAAATTACAAACTTAGGGGTTTTTTTTAGAATTTTTTAAATTTTATAAATCTAAATATTAAACTTTTAAGGTATTTTAGTCTTTTCACTATTATCAAATAAATCACTAACAGAACATGACGGAAGGTACTTATCTGTTATTTTAAACCTTTTAGGTTCAACTTGTTATTTCGACAAACCTTGGGTATGCATAAGTCGTTCGGCCCACTTAAGAGACAAGGAAAATTAAAAAATAAATAAATGAGAGAAAAAAAGAATGTGGAATAGTGTTGAGTAAGGTCCCCACGGATAGGATAGGAACAGGGTAAGGATGGAGAGAAAGTAAAAGGAAAAGCTACGAAAGAAAGAATAATTTGAGAGAAAAATAAAGAAATATTATATCTGGCAACTTGGACCCGTACCCCACAACACGAGTCCATGATTTTAGTTCTTTTTTTATCAACCCGTGCTTGACCGTTCCCTTTTTTTTTGTGAGTGGGTTGAGTAATACCTATAAAGAGATTAAACTACCCTTAATTCCTAATCATACCACCATTTCTAAACTCCATCTCATCCCAGTGATCCCCACCATCAATCTTATCACCATTTTTAATCTCCATCTTCTCTTTCGCTCTCATTCGAACCTCCTCTTCCTTTTCCTTTCTTCACTCTCTGTCAACATCCCACCTCTCTCTTTCTGTTGTTAGATTAAGTTGTGATATTGTTTTTTGATTTTATGTTTTGATACATTTTGTTGATATTAAGTTGAAGCTACAAGTGCTAAAGGCAAGCCATCACATTCCTTAGCAATTTTAATTGCCAGAGGATTCAAAGTGGAGGCATCACCTATGCCTGCATGCCTTTTGAGTAAAGCCACAGCTTCATCATCATTTAGAACATTTAGTTGAATTCGTGACTGACACCCCATATCGATACAAACTTGTTGTCGACGAGTAGTAAGAAGAATTTTGCAATTCTTGTTATCATCATCAAGTGGAATTCCTAATATCGATTTTAACTCAAATTTTCTCCAAACATCATCCAATATTACGAGGATCTTCTTCTCTGGCTCTGTGAATCTCTTGAATAATCGCCGCGCTCTTTCTTCTTCACCTTGCTCCAACAGTGACAACCGTAGCTCACTTGCTAGTTGACCTTGAATATTTTTAAAGTTTGGAGTCTGAGATATGGTAACGATCACAACCTCATTAAAGATCTCCTTCACTCTATTACCTACTTCTTTTGCCAAGGTTGTCTTACCCGCCCCGCCCATCCCATACAATCCAACCATATAGATCTTATCATTTCTCAGTGCCTCAATAATATCATCAATAGCAGATTTTGAAGACTCGAAAATCTGAAATTGATGAGGCTTTAAAAATTCTATACCTGGTAGAGTGGTACGATGACCCACTCCATCGAAATTGCCATTATCTGTTAGCTTCCGCATAATGGTTGTCTTCTTTGCTGCTTTCCTAGCTAACCAATATCGGCAACCCCAATTAGGACACCATCCATTAAGGCAAGTCTTTTTCACTCCTGTCTCTTCTCTCAATCCCTCAGCATCAGCCAGCATCTTGTTGGCATCAGTTAGCCACTCTTTAACATCTCCCTTGATTTCATCAGTATTATTTTTAGCTATTTCAACATCTTTATTCACGTTTTCTTTTGCCCATTTCAATTTCTTTTCTTGTTCTTCAAGTTCTTTAACAATTGTGTTGAAACAAAATAGATAACGGACTTGGTTTACTGTCGGCTCCACCAAGTGTTCTCCAATCTTTGATGCAATAGCCAAAACAACTTCCATCCTCAAACTCTGTTATCAAGAAATTAAGTACATCAGTATAAGATAAAAAAATAAAAATAAAAAATCATTGACTGATAATTAAATATTATTTGGGATAGAACGTCTTTTTTATATCTTTATTTTATTATTATTATTGTTTAGTGATACTCATATATAAAAAAATTTGTATATTTTGTGCTTTTAGATAGTACTGTATCATATATTGACGGCAACCAAAAGCATCAATATATGCTTCTATACGGCTTGAGGAATTTTAGAATCCTTAGAGGAAAGGTCCAAAATCCAAATCATGACCATAGTAAAACCATTTTAGATACATCATCAACTAAAAGTGAACCCTCTTATCGTAGTAAACAGAACGAGTACAAAATAATGATTAGTTTATTGAATTCATGTAAGCATACTGAAGCTCAAATTATTATTATTGTTGTTATCAGTTTATGACACATTTAGGGGTGCTTTATTTATGTCAATAACCGAAATCTTTATTACTTAAACACTCCCATTAAGCTATTTCGTTCTTCATTAACTAAACGGCATTTAGAGAAAAGAAAAAAAAAAAAAAATAGTCTGGCTCAGTTTTGTTGTATTTGGTCTTTTATGCAATGTAAAGTTAGTTATGGTTAAACCTCTCAGAAAAAATATTAAAACCAATGTCTTAAAACGCGACCTGGCTCCGTCGATTCAACTAGGACCCAGGGGCTAAGTCAAGTCAATTCAGATCATAGGGATGATTTTGCTAGATTTCAAACCTGAAAAGACAAATCAGTGGTGTTTTTGTTAGATTTCAAACTTGTAGAGACGGATAGTATTTATCAAAAGTGTGTTTACTAAATTTCAAACCTATTGGTTGACTGGTGATACTGTCAGTCTAACAGGTCAGACCATTCAACTTGGGACCCAATTGCCTGCCCGATCATTGACCGGTTTGGTTTTAAAAACATTGATTAAAACTGGGGCTTTTTTAGATCATTGGTGGGAGTAGCTAATAGTTAATATTTAAAAACCTGTTAATTAAGGATAGAGACTCTGTTAGCTGTTAAGTATCATTGTTTGTTTTTTCAACTTAGGTCTCAATTGGACTTAATTTAAGTCATTCAAAATTTGAGATTTTTTTTTAATTTAATAATGATTTTTAAAATAAAAATAAATGAATTGAAAAAAATTAATGTTTATAGCTTATCACTTAATGAAAATAACTGAATAGTTTGTTTTAATATTTTATCCCTATTCACATTAAAATCTTATTTCAATTAAATTAGATTTTGACTTTTCCATGTGTTATACTTGACTTTTAAGTATTAATTCTTGAGTTGCGGTGCATTTTTTCTTTTTTAGACTTGAATTTCCAGAGTATAACCACAAGTTTTCAATTAATAAACCTTTTCCATTTTTCTTCAAAAAATGCCAATATTGTAATCACGTTAACTTATGTGGTCAATTAAATACTGAAGAATTAATACTATATAACCAACAACACGAAGAAATACTATTATTTCATATATGTAAGTTTAACAAAAGTTAATTTCTTATACCTTCTTTGGTTGGGAGATATCTTTAACTAGCAAACCACAGGCCTCACCACACGGCTAACCCCCACAAAACTCCCCGATGGCGATGAGCTATTACTTACACAGTCGCACACTTTGAAAGACAAGGATGAAACTGCACATGCAGGAAACATTGACAACGAATATTAAAACATAAAAAGATTAATAGGTAGATATTTGAAGATCTTCTTGAATTAAAAAGATAATAATAAGTATCTTGAAATTGTTTAGGAACTGTTTGAATTAGAAAATTATTCTTACTCTCTTAAAGGCTAAAACACAACCAAAATCTTGCATCCAAAGCCTATATATCTGAATTTTCATTATAATTAAATATTATATTATCACGCTAGTTGGCTTTATATAGATTGCATGATTAATCTTACACTTGAATGAAAAAAAATAAAATAAAATAAAAAATGGGGTAACCCTATCGTAACTTTAATTTTTACTAAAAAGTTAGTTAAATGTTAAGAAAATCTTACTTCAATAATTAATGTTTATACTATATTTTGATTTTAACTAGCGTCACTCTTTTATTTTTATTACTTTAAAAAAGCCAGAAAGATAAAAAAAAAAAAAAAAATGGAAATACAAGAATAACAGTGGCAAACAGCACCGCCAACATGTGGGCCCTTGGCCTGGGCCGCTACACTGCCTTTATTTATTTTTTTTTTAATTTTTAATATTTAATTATTATTAGTATATTGAAAAATTATTTTTAAAAGTAAATACTTTTAAATTTTTAAATAATTGTGAAATATTATAAAATTGTCAAATTAAAATTTTATGACCTAAAAGCGAGAAAACGAACGAAAATAAGAGCAAACGACATGTTCCCACTCCCACCCAAGGTAAAGCTAAATGACAAGTTAACATGTTTCATAAATTTCAAATTTTCACCTTTAAATTAATATAAAATTGTTTAATCAAACGGTGAAAAAGGTAAAAAGATCATTTCAAATTTTAGATGCAAACTGAAAAATAAGCTGCCACCAAAACCACCCCATACAACTATCACCATCAACCGGAAAATAGCACATATAGAGTATAGGCCGCAAAATAACAAATATAGAGTTACAAGCTAAAGGCTTGGGAATTTTTACAAACAGGTGGAGTGCCAAAATTTACAAAGCTTTGATCATCCTCCGCGACTTCAATCAATCCCAGAAAACAAACTCAAAACACTTCTTAATCAATCCCAAACGACCTCCAAACAACACAAAAACAATCTCCTTCAAAATCTCATCAAACAAAACTCCAATCAATCCCAATTTCTGATTGATGATTATAGTGTTGAAAAGGGTGAGAAATCTGAAAATCTTTTCTTGGAGTTTGGCTGATCGGGTGAAGAAGAAGAAGAAGAAGATGAGAGGGAATTTGGCTGATCATGTGAAGAAGCAGAAGAAGATTAGAGGGTTGTTTGGTAATAGCACACTTTGGATCCTTAAAGTTATTAATGGTGTTAGTTTAAAGTTGAGAGTTTGAAATTTATGAAACCAGGTGAGAACTTGTAGTTTCAATAAACCTTGGGTGAGAACATGTCGTTTACTCGTGAACATAAATTGCGATGAGAAAGTGGAAATGGCTTTCTTCCCAGCTTAGGAGGAGTCTAATTTTCCAGATTTTTTTACATTAAAAGAAAAATAAAAATCAAAGTTAATTGTTAATGTTAATTTTCCTTTAAGCTGGTCCAAAAGGTATTGTAAAAGTGATAAATTTTTCATTTTGTGATGTGTTCGCATCACTTGGACCATATGTTCATGTCGATGACAGTGTGATAACCCACTTTTCTTGGGAGAAAGACTTATACATACCCAATGTTTGTTAAAACGACAAGTTGGTATCCAAAAGGTTTTGAAACGACAAATGGGTACCTTTCGTCATATTCTGTTAGTGATTTTCGTTAGATAATAGTGAAAAGACTAAAATGCCCTTGAAAGTTTAATTTTTAGTTTTTTATAAATTTAAAAATTTCTAAAAAACCCCCCTAGGTTTGCTAATTTGCTAAATACCCCAATATATAAAAATTTTATAAAATAACAAATACACCCCTGTCACCCACAGTGCTAGATTCCGGCCACCACCGTCGGAATCTGGCCGGAAAATTGTGTTACGACACAGACCCGTCGGATCTATGTCGTAACACACCGATCTGGCCTTTTCCGGCCTCGACGGCCAGATCTGGCCTTTGGCCGGAAAATGCCAGATCAACGTGTTACGACACAGATCCGATGGGTCTGTGTCGTAACACAATTTTCCGACAAGTTTTCGGTCTCGACGGCCAGATCTGGCCGTAGATCTGACCTTTTCCGATCAAATCAGCCACGGATCTTGCCCGAAAATGAAAGATATACGCGTTACGACACAGATCCGATGGGTCTGTGTCGTAACGCAATTTTCCGGCCAGATTCCGACGGTGGTGGCCGGAATCTGGCACTACAGGTGGCGGGGGTGTTTTTGTTATTTTATAAAATTTTCATATATCGGGGTATTTAGTCAAATTAGCAAACTTAGGGGGTTTTTTAGAAATTTTTAAATTTATAAAAATCTAAAATATTAAACTTTTAAGGGTATTTTAGTCTTTTCACTATTATCAAATGAAAATCACTAACAGAACATGACGGAAGGTACTTATCTGTTATTTTAAAACCTTTTAGGTATCAACTTGTTATTTCGACAAACCTTGGGTATGCATAAGTCGTTCGGCCCACTTAAGAGACAAGGAAAATTAAAAAATAAATAAATGAGAGAAAAAGAAAGAATGAAGAGGGTGGAATAGTGTTGAGTAAGGGTCCCACGGATAGGGATAGGAACAGGGTAAAGGATGGGAGAGAAAGTAAAAGGAAAAGCTACGAAAGAAAGAATAAGTTGAGAGAAAAATAAAGAAAATATATATCTGGCAACTTGGACCCGTACCCACAAGACACGAGTCCATGATTTTAGTTCTTTTTTTATCAACCCGTGCTTGGACCGGTCCCTTTTTTTGTGAGTGGGTTGAGTATACCTATAAAAGATTAAACTACCCTAATTCCTAAATCATACCACCATTTCTAAACTCCATCTCATCCCAGTGATCCCACCATCAATCTTATCACCATTTTTAATCTCCATCTTCTCTTTCGCTCTCATTCGCAACCTCCTCTTCCTTTTCCTTTCTTCACTCTCTGTCAACATCCCAACTCTCTCTTTTCTGTTGAGTAGATTAAGTTGTGATATTTGTTTTTGATTTTATGTTTTGATACATTTTGTTGAATTAAGTGAACAAAAAAAAAAAAAAAACCTCTTTGTAAATTACACCAGATCATGTTTTTGAGGTCTGTAACCAATTTGCCATTCATAAAATAAGAATGCATCTAAAACTGCTTGAATATTACATGGTAAAATTTGCAGTAGTTGAAATGAATTTAGAGGAGTTGATTGTGGGGGTGTGATTGTAACAAATGAAAAGTGTAGAAATTATGGGTGCATAACTGTAAAATATGAAAACTAAAGTAAACAAAACGAAGAATTACAATTATTTCATAAATGTAAGTTCAACAAAAGTTAATTTCCATACCTTCTTTCGTTGGGAGATATCTTTAACTAGCAAACCACAGGCCTCACCACACGGCTAACCCACACAAAACTCCCTTGAGTATATTACACAGTCGCACACTTTGAAAGACAAGGATGAAACTGACATTGACAACGGATGCTAAAACATAAAGAGAAAAATAGGTATAGTACCAATCTTGAAATTGTTTAGAAACTGGAGGTGTAAAACCCCACTCTTGAATTAGAAAATGTCTTACTCTCTCTGTAACTTGAACCCATTTTTGTAAATTTTTTTTTGTTTTGCACTAATAGAGTTGCAAAACATATCAATTAAATTACTGGTACCTTTAGAGCAATAACTAAGGAAATCATATACTCTCAACATGCATCTTTAGATCTAGAAAATATTTTAGCGCTATTTCCAATTATTGGCTAAAATATTTAAAAAAGGATGTGATCAAAATTTGTGTTTATATAACATGATTGAGAATTTATTATTATATTATGATGTTTGTTATTCATTATTATTATATCTAAAGCAAAAAAAAAAAAAGAAAAAAAAAATTACTTTTCTGTGAAGTAGACGACTGCAATCACTACTTGGAACTCAGTAATCTATGTTTTTTCATCTTTAATCTTTCAATATCCTTTTCTTTTTTCATACTAAAGCAAATTGAAATAATTAGAAGTGGAATATGCAAAAAAACCTGATCTAATCTGGCAAAAATCAGAAGAAATAACAGTAGAAAATAAGGGTAAACGACTTTTTCCGGCTCAAGGTTTGGCTTAATGACAATTTTCCACCAAAAAGTTTCAAATAATAATTTCTCACTAAAGTTAATATTTTTTTATACCAAAGCTGATTCCGGCAGTGAAAATTATTTACAACACCAACATTTAAACCTCGTCTTTCTACAAAAAACCTCTCACTCTAACACATGATTTCTCACTGATTGTCGGTCACTGCAAAGTTAAAGTTTTTGTTCTTAGTTGATTTTTGGTTGATTTCGATGGCGAATTTTCAATTGTCATCACCATTCAATCCACCAGTCTCTACTCTACAAAAACTTCTCTATCATTACTGGACTCATTGAACGTTAACTAAGAAAATGAAGTGTGTTTTGAATATAAATTTGGGCAGAAAAATAGTTATTTTAAAACTTTTTTTATTGGAAAAAAATCGTCTATTCTAAAAATAAAAATGAAATCATACCTAAACGAGAGTTTGTAAGTTGTAACTTCGCAATGCACCGAACTCTGTAACTTCAAATCTTGACGACTAAGAGCAAGAAGATGAGGGAAAATAAATTGCGATGAGAAAGTGAAAATGACTTTTTCCAGCTTACGAGGTGTTAATTGCTTAAAAGAAGAAAAAAAGTTGGCGTTAATTTTTCTTTAAGCTCAAATTGCTCAATGAACTTTTGGACCATATGTTCAAGTCGTTGACAGTGGCATGCACTTAAGAGACAAGGAAAATAAAAAAATTTAAAATGAGAGAAAAAGAAGGAAAAAGTTTTCTGGGGATATGTGTAGTGTTGGGTCAGGGTCCCAGGGATAGGGTAAAGGATGAGAGA